ATTTTTTCATCTGTTTAATAGATCCAGTAACACTATTTGATATTTTTTATCAATAATTCATAAGAAAATATCGTTAAGATGATCCACAACTCCTTATTTAATGGAATTAAATCATTTTATATAACAAATGTAATATAACAAAACGACAGGAAAATTGCTATAATTTGATTCCTATAAATTCCATAGCTACCTAAAATTATAGGTACGGAAACATAAACTTCATATCTACAAAGGTAGAATGAAATCACTTCTGCCAATCACTTATCAAAACACGTTAGACTCTTAGATGCTTCACTAGAATCCTATGGAAATCTCAAAAATAAGCTCTAATTTCATTAGACAAGCAAATTCTACAAAAGCTGTTTTTTAAATATATAAGGCAGTTATCAATTTTCAGTCTTTGAATTCATTAACATTTATTATAGGCTATATATTGGATGCTAAGAGTTTAAAGAACTAGCAGGGGCATATATTTGAGCATCAAATCATTACAAGGGTTTTAAGTCAGTATCATGAGAGTTTTATTCTTTTTGTTTTTATTTTATTTTTAAGATTTTATTTATTTGTGAGAGAGAGAATGAGAGACAGAGAGCATGAGAGGGAGGAGGGTCAGAGGGAGAAGCAGACTCCCTGCTGAGCAGGGAGCCCGATGCGGGACTCGATCCCGGGACTCCAGGATCATGACCTGAGCCGAAGGCAGTTGCTTAACCAACTGAGCCACCCAGGCGCCTTATTCTTTTTGTTTTTAAATATGTTCATGGAAGTGAATGTATCCTAGGGATGTAATGTACAGCATATTGACTATAGTTAATAATACTGTATAGTATATTTGAAAAGTTGCTAAGAAGGTCTTACAAGCTCTCATCACAAGAAAAAGTTTATAATTATCTGTGGTAATGGATGTTAACTAGACTTATTGTGATTATTTCAAGATATATACAAATATTGACTCATTATGTTGTGTACCTGGAACTAACATAATGTGATATGTCAATTATATCTCAATAAGAATAAATATACTCATGTAACAAATATTGAACTATATTTGGCACATAGTACATTTTTGAGTAAAGCTCTTATCAGTAGTGAATGGCCACAAGAGAATATACTTACAATCACTAAAGGTTGCCTGACTTACTTTTAGTATTTGAGAATAGACATTTATCACTTAAAGGCTTGCTGTCTCACTGGAAACTTTGTTCAATAATTATATTCTCAGGGCTAAAAAGAATTCAGTATAGAATTTATTACTGCACAGATCACAACCCATTTGAACTCCTAGAGAGATAAGCTATTTAAACATTGTGACCTTCATTTTATTAGGTACTCAAGTTTATACTGCACATAGGATGGATTCAAAAATATACAGAGGAAAAACCCACAAATAGTATTTTGTGGCCAAAGGTACCTCTAGACAGTTATTTGGAATTCAAAATATACAAAGCAGCTTTACAAAGGAGTCTACAATTTTAAATGTTGATTAGCAGTTAAAAAAACAAAACAGTATTAGGAAAAAAATCTAATCTACATCTTGGTGAGAATAAAGTGTGTTGGGGTAAGTGCAACAAAGCAAGTAGTCACTTGCAGCTGACCTCTTTTTTGAAAACTAGAAGCTGTATCAGAAAAGTTACGAAAAAAAGTAAATCTAAGACAAAGTTAAGTTTCCAGAATTCAGTATTTTCGAGTATTTACATATGTTACTAATCCACAGTAGGCTGATGCCTCCTGGGTACTGACTGGCCGGCAGAGTCAACTAACACAATACATGAGGGCCAGGTGCTTCTGCTTATACTTTTCAGTCCAAGAACACTTCAGTGCTCATGTGTTGGGCCATGCCCTTGGCCACTTCCACCATTTGGGTAAAAGTAAACAATAAGTAGGATCTCATTGAGTTATGTTTGGAAGGGTTCTCAATAAATGAGACATTGTGTATGAAGTGCCTGGCAAACAGAAAGAGCCCAATAAATGTTAGCTTTTAAAAAATTCTGCAATTGCATTGGATAGAACCCAGAAATAGCAGTGAGAGCCATGGTTGCTTCCAACCCGGGAGGCCTGTCTGCAACCATTTTATTGAAACTTTTGCAGGAATATATGGTACTGTGTTCTGGTTCACAGGATAAAAATAAAGTTGGGCTAACTATAATTTTGCCATGCTCCTTTGGTACAGTTCTGAACTCACTTTGAAATTAGCAATCTTGGGGAGACTCCCTGATATTTTTATCAGACTTGCCGACAAAGTACCTATTCTTCCGTATGCTTTTCATGGGAGGCGGTGAAGAGGGGGAAATAATATTACTTACCAAACGAATGGGATGAATGACAGTGCCCTGCTGGATCAATATCTTAGGTAAATTCGTAATAGAAACAAAAGCATAGACACTGTGTTCTCATAAATATTACTACTACAACACAAAGTTCTGCAGACATTGTGGAAAGCCCTCATTTAGTCACTTTACAGAGACTCTTCTCCCAAAACTAGGGACTATATTTTTTTTCTTTCAGGGGTCATTGACCTACAGGGGAAAACAAATAAAGGGTCTCACAGGAGGTGAAAAGGAACTTAATTATCACTGGATTACTTTATAAAGTCACAGTAAAAAGTGAAACTTAGTTGATTTAAAATTTAAGAACAGAATAACACAAAACTTTATTCAGTATGTCCAATGATAGGAACATTTTAAATTCTACTTCAGTTCTAGTATGGCCAATAATGGGGAAAGAAAAGTAGTGGAAAAACAAAAAAGACAAGGAAAGAAACTCAGAGGGAGGGAGAGAGGGAGAGATTGAGATCAACAGAGAGTCAAGAATAAACACACAAGACACTGGGGAGAGGCTTATTGGATTACTTTTTGAAAAAGTAACACCCTGGGCGCCTGGGTGGCTCAGTCGGTTAAGCGTCTGCCTTTGGCTCAAGTCATGATCCCAGGATCCTGGGATTGAGCCCCATATCAGGCTCCCTGCTCAGCAGAGCCTGCTTCTCCTTCTCCCTCTGCTGCTCCCCTTGCTTATACGCTCTGGCACTCTCTCTGTCAAATAAATAAAATCTTTAAAAAAAAAGTAACACCCGGTCACAACTCTTCATCTGTGCTGAGGTCTTTAGGAATAACACCTTTAACTGCTACTTTTTACCAAAGCTATTCTTCACAATTTATTAACTCTCTTTGTCCTTGAAATTCTTACTGGGCCTACCACTCCCTGTTCAGTAGAACTTTCTCTGATGATGACAATGTTCTAGATATGGGCTGTCTGATGCCATGGCAACATGTGACTACTGAGCACTTGTACTGTGGCTAGTGCAATAAAGGAATGGAATTTTTTTATTTCATTTTAACTCAATAGTCACATGTGGCTATCTTATTGGACAGTGCAGGTCTAAGGGACATTTACGGTGTGGACATTTATGGTGGAAGGAAAAATGGTCTCGAGGCCATATAGATATGACTAAGGACAGATAAAATTAAATCACAGAATGAATTACAGCCTTTCAGCTGTATCTTCTCCCATCCTTAAAGCGTTTCCTTTTCTTATCATATACACGAACTACTCAATAAATAGTATTGCTGATAATCATACTACTAGCTAAACTAGCCTCAGAAGAGTCATCTTGCTTTAGGTGTGCAATTTCTGTTCCAGATAAAGCACTTAGTGGACCTAGATGAACGGCCTTTTTTGTGCCCCATGTCTAAATCCCATTGAGAAGAGTCCTACCTTCATTGTCCCTCAACGAAACATGCTGAACATGAATAGCTGTTGAAAGTTCTTTGCACTTCTCATAGCATGCTGTACTTGACCACTTCGTCGGCTGTCCTCTACTCCCCTTAATCCTTTCTTCAGTCCTCTTATTGCTTATCTTTCCCAGATGAAGAAAAATGCTCTTTGAGGGGGTGGAAACTCAAAGTCGGTGGTGGGCGTTGGGGCAAAAATATCGGCCAGGTTAAGTGTACAGGGTAGATCTATCTCCAAGACTTTGGGGAACAAGGCTTTTAGCAGTGTTCAGTACTTCATGCTATCATTTTTATTAATAAACAGCTCTCATCAGTAGTTTGACTACTGTTTGAGCACTGCTCTGCATCGTTTAATCACCTCTAAATCTATAGGTTTTAGTTTTCTCTGTATTTATTCAACCTTACTTCATTCGATAGTAATGTCTCTTTCTCTGCTAGTGAGCCACAGATGATTTTTAAGAGCTGCATTTTTGACCTCATATAATCCTCAAAAAGGAGAGATGGGGGGCGGGGGGCGCCTGGGTGGCATAGTCGTTAGGCTTCTGCCTTAGGCTCAGGTCATGATCCCGGGGTCCTGGGGTCAAGCCCCACATCCGGGCTCCCTGCCCCGTGGGAAGCCAGCTTCTCCCTCTCTATCAAATACAGAAATAAAATCTTAAAAAAAAAAAAAAAAAAAAAAGGAGAGATCGGGGCTATTGAGACACTTGAAAATCACACCAACAGCTGCCCCTACCTGGGTTAGTCACAGAATCACCCCATTCCGGTAGGCAGCGGTTGTCTCTTAGTAGTAGGTCATTAATAAAGACTTGCTTTATGAAGGTAGGAAAGTTTAAGTCACGTGTAAAGGTGAGCAGCCTCCTATAAATAACTTGTGTACTAGGGGTTCTCAAGATACCCAATGAACGAGCCCTTACATCCCGACTACTTTGGGGCTAGGATGAAAATTCTAATACCCTCCCAATTGCCCTCGCTGCAATGCCAATGACCAGAGCTTCCCTTTACACCCTTTACAGGTTTCTCTCCTCTTAGCGCTCAATAACTATAATTGCCCGCTGCTGTGTCCGCCATGCGGGCTGTAGAGCCAGGGATCAGAGGTATAGTGACTTGGGCCTCCACTGCAGGCCGAGTCTCTCTCCAACTCACCCTGAGGCTAGGGACATTTCTCTCCTCCTCAGCAGCCTCTCCCACGACTCCAGCCCGCCCTCCCCCGCCCTGCCCTTCGCACCCCGCCCTTCGCGCCCCTTCCTTCCCTCTCACAGCACTCTGTAATACAAGCCCTCCCCTCCAAACCCCCATCGTGAGCTTTCCCGCTTCCGCCCGGCGCGCGTGGGGCCTGGAGCGTGGCAAGGGAGCCCCGCTCTGCGCTGGCGAACGGCGTGGGCCGTGACGTCACCGCGCTCTGACGTCGGGCCGACGTGCAGCATGGTCTCCCGGGAGACCGGGAAAGCCGTTCGCACTCGGAGTCGAGGTCTAGGTGAGACAATGAAATGACTTCCTTGAGTCCCCCGGCCTACCCAGTCCCCCGGGACGCAGTTCCGGAGCGGAGGCGTGCTGGCATGGGGGGACGGGGGGAAAGGGCCGGAAAGCTGAGCCGCGGCGAGGGCATATGGCCCCGAGCGTCTCCTTCGCCCCCCTTTGCGGCCCCTGCACGGCTTCCGCGAGCCCGCTCGGCCCCGCCGTCCTCTACTCTCCCTGAGAGCGCAGCTCGGCCTCGGTCCCGCACCCTCCTCCCGCCACTGCAGGTCCCGAGGGAACGGGGTTAGAAAGGGACGGGTTTCAAAGCCCTTCCAGCAGTTTTGGCTGGCCTTGCAGTTGGTTTCTATTTGGAAATTGCCGCCGCTTCAGGAATGTCTTAGAACATGAACTCCGTTTCACCTGACCCTGACCCGCTCATTTGCGGGTGATTCACACCACGGGAAGGGTGTGTTTACGGAAGGGTCTGAAAGCCGAACGTGAGTTAATGGCCCAACGTGACACTGCTGTGAGGAAGGGAATCGGAAGTGAACAATCCAGGACGTTTCTGTGTTTTCGACATCTTCGTGATCCTGTTAAGAGAGCAGGTTCACAAATACTTAGTAGCTGCTGCCAGTTTCACCGCACCTCTTGTTCAAGGGCAGTCTACATGTATGTAATGTGAAAGAATAAAAGAAACTGATTTGATAAAACATGCAAAATAATATAAGAGTGAAGTAACAATTTAAAAAATTGCCGTGTTGGGCGCCTGGGTGGCTCAGTTGGTTGGGCGACTGCCTTCGGCTCAGGTCATGATCCTGGAGTCCCGGGATCGAGTCCCGCATCGGGCTCCCTGCTCGGCGGGGAGTCTGCTTCTCCCTCTGACCCTCCTCCCTCTCATGCTCTCTGTCTCTCATTCTCTCTCTCTCAAATAAATAAATAAAATCTTAAAAAAAATAAAATAAAAAAATAAAAAATTGCCGTGTTGCCAAAGGGGAAGAGACCTTCCCCCCTCCGTTTCTTGAGAAACTTTGTATTTGTGGATGTTTCCTCTGTTCCTTTGATACCTATGCAAATCTTTTTAAAGACCCAGAATGTTTTTCTAGAGGACGTGAGAGCCATTTCTTTAAAATGTAAACATCAAGGAAGCTATCTCCTTGTCACCTTGGGAATTTCGCCTAGGCAGCTTACTTTAGTACTAAGGGCTCTGTCAGAGAGATTTGTATTCCTTAGCACAGTCGCAATTAACTAGCGCAGCTATTAGCTACTTCAATTACTAGGTGAACTGAAAACGAACTATGAAATTGTGTAACAGACTGTATTGAGGATGAGTTACCATTTCTCTCGAGAAGATGTATGTAGTGGATTGTATCTATATAGCTGTATAAAAATGGGATTTCTGTCTTTGTAGTCTCATTAGCAGATTGGCTCTGATGCGCATCACAGTCTAGTTAAATGATTATTCAGTAATGAGACTGTTTTCTTTCTGCATTGTGGAGAGATTTTCTGGGTTGGCAGTATTTAATTTTTAATTTTTTCTTCAATAATTAGAACCTGCCAAATTTCCCTACTTGCTATAATAATGACACAAAGTTGGAATAGCTTTAGAGATAAGGTAATAAACAAAAACTGTTCCACTGGTCCCTTGTTTATACTGTCACTGGATGCATGCTCTCAAATAATTTTATGGGTGGAATTTAAAAAGGAGATTTAGTTGGTAATTTTAGGAAAAATTCTACTCCCACCAGAGTTTAATTAAGATGATGCCATCTTATTTTACTGATGGTGAGTCCATTGTAAAATGACAGAAGAGACAATAATGAGCCTCCTGTGAATTATGAGCTCTTGCCACATCAGAGACAGTTCGCCAAACATCAGATTATCATGTACTTGGCTATGTGGGCCTATGTTAGCTATGTCAGTTAACTGTACCCACCCCCCCACACACACACATACATTATCTTTATATGGGAAGACAGCTCATTATTTGTTTTAAACAGCATCTCATTAAAACAGCATGCTTTGTGGAATTTTCTTTCCACCAATGGTTGCACTATTAAAAAAAAAATACTGCCACTGCAGAAATTTTTGTTGACTACAATTTCCCTAACACCTTGTTGTGGCTGAGGTTGCTGTCTCTGATAGAGTACTATGCCTCCAGTCTATCTTTGTGTCAAAACCCTGCTCTGATCAAAAGCAAACAGCCTCTGGAAGCCTTCCCTAGTTTCCCATTCCTACCGGAAAGATAAGACATTTTTCCTTCCTGAACTCCTAGGTTCTTTGTCTACTACTCCTGGCCCTCAGATTTTCTTCCTTGCTATGGAATTGTGCCTGTATCATCTTACTCTGCTGCCCTCTTTCTACTCCTCACTCCTTAGATGTATATATAAACATTTCTCATGAAACTGGACTGTGTATTTTCTCCATATTTGGGAAAGATTAAAAAAACCCGAAAGTACTGTCTCCATTCATCTTGTGTAGTTACATGAAAGTAGTGATAGAATTTTGTTGAGTTTTATTAGAAAATGAAAATCTATTAAAGTAAAATATCTGCATAAAATTATGTAAATGTTCATCTTAAGTAAATGAACACTTCTCATGCTTTGATGACTCTTCAGTGCCTGCATATGATACTTAATTTGATAACTATTTTTTTCATACTTCATCCTCTAAACCAGCATTCATGTCACAATTGTTTTTCTTATCTGCTGAACTAAAATACTATATTTAGATACTTTTAAGTTTTTGGACCCCACCCCTTTTTTTTAAGAAAACAGAAATAGGCCTGTTTAAAATTTTAAGTGACACTTATTCTGTATTTGCAAAACAAATCATCAGTAATAAACTACCACAGAAATTACAATTAGACTATAAAGTTCTAAAGAAAGTAAATGTTTCTAACTCAGTTGTCTGTTATCTTTCCTATTATATTGGCCTAATAGCTAACTGAGAAAAGCCCAGTTGGTTGTACCTTTTAACATTGAGTTGATGAAATAACCGTTAAAAGTTATCACCATTCATCTCTGAGTACTCCCAAGAATTTATATCTTTTAATTTGAATTTTATTCACATTATTTCAATTCTGACTATTGCTATCAATGTTTTTATATTATTTTACTTCAGAACTCATATTTTGGGAAATTATGGATCGTCACATCCCCATGCATGCATTACCTGAAGAAATCCAAAAGGTATGATATTGTATTGTGTTATTACAGCATAACATTAAGAGCATTTTAAGGTAGATATAAAACCTGGGGGAATGATTTCAGAGGTTTTACATTTATTTTGGTCAGGGCATCTGCAATGAATTGATGGAGTGGTAAAGGAAATAACCATAATGGCCAGATTGTAGAATTCAATTCAGTGCAAAGAATTTTTAACCTCTGAAGGAAGACATCTTTAATTCCAGCACAGTATTTGACCAGGTATTTGTGGAGCTTTTGTGAAAAGAGGGACTCAGGAGTGTCCAAATACTATATTTAAATATTTTTATAGCAGCTTTTCAGGAGAAAAAAACTTGTTGTAAAAAATGGAAATACATGGGCCTGTTTAAAATTTTAAGTGAATCTTATTCTGTATTTGCAAAATGGATAATTAATAGTAAGCTATTATAGAAACTACAATTAGTTTGTAAGTTCATGTGATGCTAAATGTTGGTGTCTCTCTCCATATAAAGGTCTATTTCAGTTTCACCTTAATTTTTGCCACTTATCATGTACCAAGCACTGTTTTAAACCCTTTCATATATATCAACTCATTGAATCTGGTTAACAATCAATTTTTCTTTACAGTTTCTATCCTGCTCTCCTCCCTGTGAGTTAATAGCTGTCCTCAGGCAGAAGCATTTATCCTGTATTTAGTTTGGCAATGCATACATTGTTAACAGTTTAATTTTTAAAATATCTCTTTTGAAACTGACAAATTGTGTATTGAAACCTCAAACATTAGCTATCATTAATCATTGAGATTTTTCGGTAAATCTATAGTCAACTCTTAATTAGCCACCAGTCCGTTACTTTTTACTTAAAAATTGCAGTCATCCCTCAGATATGCTTTTATCCTTTGTGCACATTGCTTTGGGCTGCCTATTAGCATTAATCATTCCATTGATTTAACTTGATGCTTAATGTTACTGCATGTCCTTCAGATTTATGTAAAATGCAACCTAGCAGGAACTGGAAGGGAAAAGACCCAGAAAAAGACCTTTTAAACCATTGCATTTAATTTGCTTCACCTTTTAAGTTACATGTAAGAGATATTAAGCACAGTTTAGCTATGCTATATTTAGCTGAGAAATGGTGCTTATATGTGTTTGAAGACATCATATATTCTTCCTCTCTCGCTCAACTGAGTTCTTTCCATGTACTAGGCTGGTGTGGTAGAGATTAAGAGAAACAGAACAAAAGAGTCAAAGAAACAATACCCATACTGCAGATCGTAAGGAAGAGGATATATAATGACATGAAAAAATAACTCTAGAAGACAGTTAATGATTTAAATGTCATATAAGGTAGTATCTTCTTTGAGAGTGGAGAGGTGGGGTGGGGGAGGAATCCCTGATATTGGGATGGTCAACGGGGGAGCTTTATGTGGGCGAAAGCCCTTGAAGGCTGTGTATTTCTATAGACAGATGGGAATAGGGCATCCTAGGCCAAGGTAACAGAAGCTTACTGGTGAGAAAAAGCTAGCCAAGTTAGAGAATGTTTAACAATGTAAATGTTTTGAATATGTGAAAGAGTATGTATTTATTTTGACGATACTGTTCTCAAAGTTGCAGAATGCTTTCTTCTCATGTTTAAGGTACTATATAAGTAAATTGTTTAAAAATGGTAAAACCAATCCTTTCATAAATCTACAGATACATTCTTAAGGCAGGAGTGGCAGGCAGCTGTCCATATAGTGCAGAGAAGGGACATCAGGAGAAACTCAGCTGCCTAAGGCCCTGGACAATTATGCTGCTTGTAGCCCTTGTCCTGATGGATGTTTAGAATGTAAAGTGCAGCTCTGCACTTTTTCAGACCTAAGTTAGATACATTTATACCACAAATATTTATCAAGTGCCTATTATGTGCTAGACACTGTTCTGGGTACTTGATTATAACACAAGGTAAATGTCTACATGTAGCCACAGCCTATTAAGCACAGTCTAAGAATAAGTCAGTTATTTGTTTTCCACAACTTCTTACTTACCTTTGATTCATCTAGATTGTCCATAATGCAACTTGTTAAATTGCTCACTGATCAGGCAGTATATCTATTTAGTCAGCTTGCATACATCATTTCGTAAAGAACCATGTTAAATAGATAAATAGCTTATAATGGTAAGAAGAATCCTTCAGATTAGAACCATTTCATTATTTTTTTCAGTTTCTTATATTAAGTTTTTATTTTAATTCCAGTACAGATAACATACAAGTGTTATATTAGTTATAGGTGTACATTTTAGTGATTCAACAATTCTAGAACCATTTCATTATTAATATGAAGAAAACAATTTTTTCCATCATGGCTTTGAAATTGTGCTCATTTCTTTATTAGAAAAACAAGTATGTGAGGTTTGTGGATCAGTATGTGGTGACAGGTTTTTCAAAGGTTTCTCTTTTTTTTTTAATTGTTCTTCTGTTAACCTTTTGTGTTAGTTTTTATGCTGACTCTTCTTTCTAGGGAAGCACCTGCTGTGTTTCCTTTTTTTTTTTTCTTCTGTGTGTAGGCAAGGAAGGTTAGTGTAGAGATCAAGAAAGAAAAGGTGAACTTTTCCTATTTATTTCTTTCTGTACTTTTGATATATGATCTGGAAATAGATGGTCAATAAATCCCATGAAAGATACATGATAATGTGAAAATGTACTATACTGTACTATTAATAGCAAAATAGGTAGTAATTGAAAGAGTTGCAAGAAAAAGTAAGGGTGGTGGGGACAGGTGTGGAGAAGAAATGCTGATGACAACCAGCACAGTTAGAGAATCCATTTCTTGATTAGAAGCCTACAATTGTTAAATTAACTCCCCCTGATCTCATCGTCTTAGGAAATCTTAGAGAAGAAAGAATAAAATAATCTTTTTGACTCCCATTCCTAACTCTTTTTGCTTTTTATCACAGTTTCTGACTAAGCATAAAACACACCTCAGACATCCATATCCCTAAGTGGCAGAAAATGTGAAACAGGCCCATGGGCTGGACAGCAGGACCACACTTGTCCACTTTGTCTGCTGCTAGACTACAGTTCACTTGTGAATGTTCTTAGACCATATCTCTAAATCTACTCTCTCTAGACTGAGCTAACCCCCACCTGTCTCTGACTTCCAATATCTAACAGCTTTGCTAGAATTTTCATCCAGCATTCTGAAAGCCGAATGAACTTGGTCTAAGTTTAGAATTGCCACAATTTAAAACTAAAACAATACTTCTAGATCAGCAAAGTAATAATTCTTTATTTATTCCCCTTCTGAATGTCAACTGATGTTAGAGACAGGTGGGGTTTGTTTTTTTTTTTTTTTTTTTTGAAAAAGAAGCAACAAACAACTTTCCTTTTGCTGTTTTTGTTAGGGGACATATGCAGAAGTCAAAATAACCAGCAAACTAATGGAAAAATTAGTTCTTTTGCAAAAGTAAGACTGATCTCTTGTTTTTTAAAACGGTGACAAAATGAACACTTGTAATAGAATTTTAGCTTCAAAAGATATTTATTACCACAGAACACAAAGTAAAATAAAGAGACCAGAGTTGTTTATTTTATAAAACAGAAGTGGTGGTGCAAGGGCTAGAGAGCACACTGTTCTTTCTGGAATAACAATCCCTTTCTCTAGCAGTAACGGCTCATTTTGTCCTGTTTCAGTAAAGTAATTTTAGTACTTTGGAACTTTGAAATTTATTCAGAATAACAGTTTTATGTTTCCAAGCACAGATTGTCATTGCCAGAAAAAATAAACGTAATTTTCCAGGTCATTTTGGGCCACTGTGGCTAGGTCAGATTTTGTGTTGAGTTAAAGTAGAGGAAAAAGAAAGAGAATATAGTCATAGAAATGTTAGCATAGCATCCTAGAAAAGTGATATTTGTATGTGGGTGTGAGTATGTGTGTTGTGATTTTAAGCTATTGTAGTTTTAAAACTTAATGACAAAAGAAATAGGAAGCAATGTAATTTTTGGAGAGACTATTCAGTTAATATTGTAATCCAAGATAGTTCATTAGGAAAAACAGTTTTTTTTTAAAAAAAAAACTTACTATGAAACTTGAAAAATCTGCAAAATACCTCTCTTTTTTTCCTTTTTTTTTTTTTAAGTCCAAAATACTTTTGTTGGCTGGCTGCAGAGGGTCATAGAGTCTAAGGTGAGGTTTCCCAGTGGAAAAACAGGTATTGGAGGAAATACACTTTGGAAGTGTATTTATATAAACACGAGTGTGTCATGTATAATTTATGTGTGAAGCCAACATTTCTTAAAATTGCTCAATAAAATTTCTTTATGGGTTAATCTCTGTGTTTCAGTCCCAGATTGATTTATTTTTACTTTTATGATTTTAAAAGTAAGATTCTTATTTTAAGATCACTGTAGATTCACATGTAGTTGCAAGAAATGATACCAAGAGATGCCAACTTCTTCTTCCCCAGCTTCCCCTTCTTTCCCCAGTTTCCCCCGGTGGTAATATCTGGCAAAATTGTACTGCAGTCTCAAAACCAGGGTATTAACTTAGATACAGTCAGGATGTACAACAGTTCTGTCACAACAAGGGGTCCTCATGTTGCCCTTTTATAGCCACACTCACCTCAACCTACCTCTTCACACATCTCCACTACCCAACCTTCCACCCCTAATTCATGACCCCTGGGAACCATTGATATCCAATAATTATGTCATTTCAAGAGTGTTATCTAAATGGAATCAAGCAATATGTAACCTTTTAGGATTAGTTTTTTCACTCAGTGTAATTCTCTGGAGCTTTTTTCAGGTTGTTGCATGTATCAATAGTTTATTCCTTTCTGTTGCTGAGAAGTATTCCAGGGTATGAAGGTACTATGGTTTAACCTGTTGAAGGATATCTGGGTTTTTTCCAGTTTTTGACAATTATGTATAAAGCTGTAAATATTCATGTATATTTTTTATGTGAACATATGTTTTCATTTTCCTGGGATAAATGCCCAAGAGTGCAATTGCTAGGTTGTACAGTAGTTGCATGTTTAGTTTTTTAA